GATAATGTGCAAAAACCCCACTGAAAAGGAAAAAATAAATTTTAAACCAAAAATTCAATACAAGAACTTGAATTGTTTCAGCCATTACCGAGCATTTGTTTGTGTATATATTCATTTGTCGGTGCTGTCAATTAAAATTTCCTCACTTAATTAGGAAACAAAACAAAGAGAGTTGATCACAAATTGATCCAGATTTCTATCAGCATCAACATCGATGTTGAATTTGCTAAACTTTTCTTTATCCAAATAATGTAAAATAATAAATGAAATCTCGATCGGCGATCACTGAAACGCAGCTAGCGAGTGTATACTCGAAAAAGCAATGTTGCCACTTTTTTTCATTAAACCATGTTCGAATCGTGGAATTTTTGGAAGATCAGAGGGTTGCTTTTAGCATTAAGATTCGTAATGCAAAAATGGAGTTGCATTTAGGTGACGAATTTTGTATGGATAAATGTACAATTTAGAGTAGCATTTAGAGCTAAATGTGCTTTTAAAGCTCAGTTAGTCATAGGGCTTTCGCACGAGGCGANACCAATTACGCGGTTTTGTTTTTGTTCTCTTCGTTGTTTACTTCTTCCAACAAAGATGGCGTCGAGATTTCAACAGCTAGAAAATAACTTTTTTCTTTCTTTCGAGAAGGCGTGATCTTGTGTCTTTCGTTCATGGAGTCAAGGCGAATTTATAAATGTATATGTAATTCATATATGTATAAAATCGCCTAGCAAGGAGCCCAAAATACAATAATGCAGCGTTTTTGCTGCATTTAAAATGCAACATTTAGCGCTTTCGCATTTAGCAAATGTACAAACAGCCGTGTTCCAGTCGCTTATTCAGATCCGTATCTATTACGATCAACTCTCACGCAGAAGATAATGTGCAAAAACCCCACTGAAAAGGAAAAAATAAATTTTAAACCAAAAATTCAATACAAGAACTTGAATTGTTTCAGCCATTACCGAGCATTTGTTTGTGTATATATTCATTTGTCGGTGCTGTCAATTAAAATTTCCTCACTTAATTAGGAAACAAAACAAAGAGAGTTGATCACAAATTGATCCAGATTTCTATCAGCATCAACATCGATGTTGAATTTGCTAAACTTTTCTTTATCCAAATAATGTAAAATAATAAATGAAATCTCGATCGGCGATCACTGAAACGCAGCTAGCGAGTGTATACTCGAAAAAGCAATGTTGCCACTTTTTTTCATTAAACCATGTTCGAATCGTGGAATTTTTGGAAGATCAGAGGGTTGCTTTTAGCATTAAGATTCGTAATGCAAAAATGGAGTTGCATTTAGGTGACGAATTTTGTATGGATAAATGTACAATTTAGAGTAGCATTTAGAGCTAAATGTGCTTTTAAAGCTCAGTTAGTCATAGGGCTTTCGCACGAGGCGATTTTTCAGGCAACTTTTAGTTGAAAGCAAAAATCGCCTCGTCCGAACGGCCTTTCAACTAATCGCTTTCAACAAAGTTGGTCGCCAGCCAACTTTGAGCTCGTTCAACTTTTTT